ATATAACTCTTCTGAGATGATGTTGATGATGATGATGATATTAAGTTCAGAGATAATAGTAAATAAAGCTGATGCTAGACTGTTGAGTTTGGAACAGGGCTATGCAAGTTATGACCATGGATTGTGACCTGCCAGGGCCTTCATAAATCTTTACACTGCATGGATGATGGGTTCTGTTCAGCTTGGTGGGCATCATGTTGTACAGACCTGGTTTGCAATATCCTCAATATATTCACCAACACATATCCTTTTCCTGATTTAACTTTGCAGAAGTTCCCACTTCCCTTTTCGTGCCTCATAATATGAGTCAAACATCCCAGAGGCTGATATTTGCCTTTCAAGGAGTATTCAATGTTGCCGTGTCTAGACAATAGGATGAGTAGTTAGGGTGAATGCTGATATCATTGCTTGACTATTTTAATATACCCTAATGTCACAGTAAGTTATTAGCTGTCAGGGATCATATTATGAGTGACCTTGTGAGAATTAACATCTTGAAAGTTGGGATAACCATCTATTAAATAAATATGGGAGACTTGATTCATGCCCTGTCTGCATTCACATGACCAAACTTTGTAGGCCCAAGATGTATCACCCTGGGAGGAATGTAGTTATCTGTATCTCCTATCAAGTCCTCCCAGGGCTGTGAATTTATCTGCATTATCTGAGTAGTCAGTGATGGATATAAAATCTGGAGTAGATGTACATTTGGTCTGATCTATTATGGTTATTGTTACATTCTTCTAATAGATATGTCTGAGATAACTATTTTATGGGAATTTTTCATTAGTGTTTATGTTCCTTCTACCTTTCTGTTGTTGTTGTTGTTGTTGTTGTTGTTGTTGTGCTGTTCCCAAAAGCTGGCTGACGTGTTGCCATCCTTGACATATGCATGTGTGGACCTTCTGAGAGCAGCTTTGAAGATTTTCTAATCTGTATTTAATAAGCACTGCTTCCTTGTGGCTTAAAAAAAAGAACCAGGCAAAAAAAGTACAGAACACAATTTGGGGAATGGGATAATTATGGCACTACTTATAAAAACCAGATGGGAGTTTTCTAGTCATTTTTTCCCAACAGAGTCTGCCTATGTAGGAGAATATACCAAACTTGCAATTCTAATATTAGAAAATCTGGAGGGTATATGAGTGTGGGGAAGGCACTAAGTTGCTATGGAAATAGAAGCTGTTGTAAGTAAAAATAGCTGGCATTTCACTGATGTTCTGTTTATCACCAGGCTAGTGACAATCAGGCATTGCTGACTATGCAGTATCCTCTCTCTCTCTCTCTCTCTCTCTCTCTCTCTCTCTCTCTCTCTCTCTCTCTCTCTCTCTCTCTTACACACACACCCCCCCCACACCCACAAGAGCCTACTTCTTAACCCCATAGTTTTTTAGCTGTTGCCCAAATTCACTGTAATGGAAGCTTCCTTTCCTGCTCATCATGAGACAAGGTGAAGGGTGTCCAGGTATCCTGTTTTGCAGAGAACAGCCCTCTGTCTATCTGAAGGTCTGCCAGGGGACAGTTCTTTGTTTGAAGATGTTCTCTGTCTGAGGGACTGTCCAGGGCAAGACCTGTTTAAAGTGGAGGAGCCAGAAGTAACTGTAAGAAGGGAGAAAAGTGGCCTCTCTGCTGCCTGCCACAGTCTGGAGGAGGCACAGCACACAGGGACTGAGTCACAGTGAAATGTACTGCATCTCTTTTTCAATCTTATCTACGTTGGCCTAGTTATACAGCTAAATCGGCATATTTAAGCTGTATGCAAATATGTGCCCTCCTTTTGGTCATGCATTTCCCCTTTTTTGGTGATGTCCTCTTTCCAGGAGCAAGCCTCCATATGCTCAATAAGCTTTACAAATGAAACCAGGAGTCCTAAAGAGATGGGATACTTGGGGTGGGGTGCGTTTTTCAGGTCCCATGCCAAGCAGGTACTCTGATGGCTGCAGCAGTTTCTCTTTCTTCCTGATCTTGGCTTGTGCCCAGATAGCAGGCAACTGAGCTGTCTCCCTTGTCCAGCTGCAGCGCTGCTGATAAAACCCGCTTGCTGGAAGGACTGGAGCAGAGAGAAGAGGAGGTTTAATGGCAGGTTTGCTTCAAGGGCAGGGTCTAATATTTCACATTCTTTGAGGCAGGAGACCTTTTCTACTGGTCATATTGGCTGGTTGATCTGCAGACATGGTGACCTATTCACTGTACTGTACTGTACTGTATTTTCATTTGGATGGAAGTTAATCAATAGGACATTAATGTGTTGCATTCAGAACTGTAAATTCATTTGTAGCAGACCTCCCCTAGGACAGTGAGTCAGAACAGCTTTTAGCTCCTTTCTGTTTGTATTACAATGAGACACTACATAGTTTCCAACTCGGCCCCTTCTTTTTCTTTGATTAATTTGTTCCAGTGGAGTCTATTTTAGTAGATAACACTGAAGACAGCACTATTACAGCTGAGTATTTGCTCTGTCTTCTTTCCTGTGAATAACACTTCCTGGGCTTCTCTTTATCTCTGTTCCATTCTTTCCAAACTGCAAGTTTTCATGACTGTTAAAAAGAAGAGGGTTGTATCCATCCCGTCCCTGCAGCTTTCCTTCCTTCCCTTTCACCCTCCCTTTCTCTCTCTGTCTCTCACTCCCCTCCTGAACCCATGGGAGGAAGCAGGGAAAAAGAAAAACAGGAAAAGCTTTGCTGAAGGAAACTGCCTTTGCAAAATAAGAAAGAATAAATGTGTTTAGTATAGGAAAAAGAAAATAATGCATCTTTGATTTTCAGGGGGTGAAAGAGGGAAGCCCTGGTATTTGACTAAGCATCCAAAAATGATAAGTATGTGTCTGCTAAAGATGGGTATTGTGCTTTGCATAAAAAGTGGTAGTGGGTGGTTGCTTTTATTGCAAAACTGAGAAGGATGGGAAAAATCTGGTCCCCTTCCTGTGATGTATTGCCTCATACTCCTACAACCTCTTTCTGATCCCAAAAATGATCTGTCTCAGGAAAGAGTTTGCCAAGCAGCAAAGTATGGTGTGACATAAGGTGAGGGGGAGGATCTTCGGGTGATGGTGGACACTTGATGAAAATGTTGACCCCGTGAGCAGCTGCTGTGGAAAAGGCAAACTTCATGTTGGACACAAGTAGGAAAGAAACTGAAAATAACACTGCCAAGATCGTACTTCCCTTAAGCGATCTTTGGTGAGAGCACACTTAGAATATTTTGTCCAGTTCTGGTCACTGCACATGGCGCATGAAAAAGGACATGCAGGGAAGGACAGTTGAAATGATCAAGGGGTTGGCACAACTCCTCTGTGAGCAAGAGTTACAACAATGGGGTCAGTTGAGATAGAATCAGAGGCATTTAAAATTATGGATGGTGTGGTGAAAGTGGGAGGAGAGGCCACTTTCTCCCTCTCGCATGACACTTGAACCAGGGGTCATTCCATGAAGCTGATTAGTGGGAGGTTTGGAACAGATAAAAGGAAGCACTTCTCACAGCATATAGCTAAACTATGGAATTTGCTGCCTTGGGAAATAGTGATGGCTGCCAATCTGGATAGCTTTATAGAGGAATTGTAAAGGGTGGAGGCTATAAGTGGCTACTAGCCTTGCTGGCTAAGTGCTACCTCCTTCAGCAGAGGTGGCCTGCCTGCGTACTCCAGTTGCTCATGAGCTTGGGCAGGAGGAGGTCTCGCACCCATCCTGCTCTGGGGATTCTTGAGAAGCTGGTTTGCTACCATGTGGATGGAGTGCTGGACTGGATGGACCATTGGTCTGATCCAGCATGACTTCTCTTATGTTCTTATGGCATGGGTTTTGCTCCTGTCTGCAGCATGCTTCTTTCATGAATAACAGTAGACCCCTCTTTCACCACAGCTGCATAGGCAATCTGGCAAGTTTCTGTTTAGCAAACACAGACACATCTGCTCTGGCCCAAGCAGTGCTAGCTCCTGGTTTTCGAGGACCCTTGGGCAAGGCACCCTCAGTTCCCCCCCCCCACCTTTCAATGAACTGGTCTTCTCACTGCTATTGTCTCCAGCTGCCATTACTCCTCATAGTCTTTCTTAGCATTGCCACCGCTTGCTTTCAGATGCTCAAAAAGTTCATTTCCCGGTGACGTGGAGATGCAGCAATAGGGAAGCATCACTTGCTGAAAGCCTGCAAAGCATGATTTTGTTTTCAGGCGCACAGGAGCTCTCTCCTTCCTGCACACTGTCATCCTGAACTGGGTCAGATCTTCTGACATGGTTTTAATAAAAATAAAACTGGTGTTGCATCAAGCAACCCACTGTGTAATTGACCCTAACATGTTTCTTATACACAGAGAATGCACGAAAGAGCTGCACCCCATGTGTCGAGATTTGAACAGCTTTTGTCTTCCACGGCCTGCACAATCTCATCGTGGGCTCACCTTTTGGGAGCAATAGAGCCACACACATGTGAAACATCCTGCCTGTTTATTGTATCCTCTTCTAGTTAGGAGGTCATGCATTGTTAAAACCCAAAGCAATAAATATGAGAATATAAATCTGTTTGTTAGGTGCTGGAATTCACTGCTTGGCCATGCATATATCATTAAAAGATGACACTCTCATTAATGAATATTGCTTTGCTGAAATTGAATGAACTACAGAGATTTACATCGGGTCCTGACCTGCCAAATTCATTTAATAAATCATCTCATGAAGTGGGGCTCTGTTTAAGCATGCCACGCTCATAGTAACAAGGGAGCTGCTATTCTCAGACTTTGGAGACAATTACACTGTCCAGGGCTCTTCCTTGAATGTGGTTGCTGCTTTTAGATGTGGAGTATAACCACATTTACCGAGAGAAGCCAAATCATTGTTGGTTTCAGATTTTTTCCTGCCACATCTTTAAAATCTCTTTTTGGAAACATGTGTTGTTGACTGTTAGAATTTTAGACAATGTTTCAAAAGTGGCCCTGGCTTTGTACATCTGAAATGCTTCGTCAAAGAATGCTAATAGTTCTGTTTACTTTGGTTTTCCTTTCTCATCCAGATGATCAACCGTGCCCTGTTGTTCTTTGGGATGCCTCCTTGGCCCAAACAGACAATGAGACACACTCGTCACTGAGGCTAAACTGGGGGACTTACAAGCAACAACTCAAGCAAAAGTGCTGGCAGAATGGGAAAGTGCCCAAAGCAGAATGGGGCTGTACCGCTGTCCATCACCACGAATGGTCCAAGATGGCACTTCTTGATTTTCTTTTACAGGTAGTGTAACCACTTTTATTTGTTTTGCTTATTTATTTACTAGATTGCGATACCACGCAATGGCTGAAGCTCTCTGGGTGGTTCACAACAATTAAAGCCATAAAATGGAAGAAGATAAAATGCAACAAAAGTGTAAAAGTTTATAACTACAGTATAACATAAGAATAAAAACCAAAGTAAAACCTAGTAACAATGAAAAGATTTAAACTATAATACCAGATTTAAAACAGGACAGAAACAGAAAAACTAAAATACATGGGAAGATAAGAATGTCTTTGAGCAATATCTTCAAAACAAGCATACTGTTGATGCCAAGCCAGTATCTGTAGGACGCAGGTTCCACAACCGGGATGCCACAACAAAAGCTACCCATGTCCTCATAGTCATCCACCTCATTTCCTTTGGTGGGCACTGCCAGAGAAGGAACACTGAGGATGATCTTAGGGTTGAGGCAGGTATATATGGTTGGAAAATAAAATGGAAATAACATCCAGGTGATCAAAAATGCTTAGGATGATGCTGCCCTCAAAAATCACCAGGCCTGCCGGGGGTGGGGTGGGAGGATTCACCTGCTTTGCCCAGCCCCCTCTCCCAACCTTGGACTAGTGATTGCTTTCATATTGTCCCTATTCCTAAGAGTGCCCTTTTATATCTCAAATGATGACTCTTTCTGTATATATTTAAACTGTAGCAATCCTTCAATTGCCTGCTTATATCAGTCTATGACAGGTTTTACTAAGAGTAGATAGGTCTAATTATTTATGTTTTATGTCTGGGCCATAGATGTGGTTATTGTGGAACATCAATTCCTGCCTAAAAATAGTCACTTAACTAATAATTCTAAATGCTTCTCTGAATATGTAATGCTTGGCATGTAATATAAAGTCACATGTGTGGATTGCAATGATCCTAAACATAGCAACAGCCATAGAGTAAAAGAGAGCATCATGATTTCTGATGTGTTGATGCAGAATAATTTTCTCTCCCTCTCTCTCTAGTGGATCATAGAGTAAATAGCCTTCTCTCCAGGGAACTGCATTTAAGCATACATTAACTTTCGAATTTTAAGGTCTGTAGCAGTTTAGCAGGAAATATGGTAGTATTAATATTATTCACATAGAATAGTAGTTGGAAAGCATCAGTAATATTTAATGGTGAGAAACCCAGGCAAGCTTAGCGCATATGTGTAGACTGTGAGATACAGAATATGCAGTTATTGCAGAAGAAGTATACACAGAGGGTTGTGCAAGAAATCCACTTCACCCTCTATGGGGGGGGGAGGTGTGAAAATCTGACAGCTGTGCTTGACTTAACCTCAGAATACTGTTCTATTACCCTTATACTGGTGACAGCTTGATCTTTGAATCGATTCCTTTGGACTGCAATTTGGGTGAGTTTATTATCAATGATTTAAAATAATATCTTAGGAAACGTGTGCAACTTGTGGCACCACAAATTTGTGCAAATTTTCTGACCTTCCCTTTTAAAAAAAAATTCTGTATGTCATGGCCCGTTTTAAAAAACTCAGATATTGTAAACATAGTATTGGTGGGAAGAATGAGGGGTAGGAGGAAGTGACTAAAAATCCTGTTTGAACAATTCATGGTCAAACAAAAAAATAATAATTAAAGTGCAACTATTTGATGTGTGCAAGTCATATAACCTTAGTGGAAAACTATAGTGTCAGTGCTGAATGAGACAAATTGACAGTGACCAGTTCTTTAGGAAAGAGGCAAAGAGCTAATGACAAAGTAGGGAGAGGATAAAACTGACAAGAGTATTTACCAAGGGAATATGCACCATCAGGGTTACAAAATAGGCTTATGAATGGGATATAATATTAAAAACACACAAACCCATTTACAGAAATGTAAAGATTCATATCCCGCAAAACACCCAATTTGATGAAATCTCCCTTTTCACAGTTGGCACTATGAATATGCAGTTCTTGGTTCTTGCTGTGTGCAGCTATTTTGTGCACATTTCCAGACCCTGAAAAAAAATAACATGGCCTTTTTAGATCAGCAGATCAGAAAAACTGTGCAAGTCTATCAGGCTCAAATGAAACAGATTTCCCAGTGTTATATATCCCTAGCTATCACCTTACTTTCTTCAAGAGAATCCATTCACTCAGGATTGGACACCAACAAGTAAGGAAGTGTTGTATTGATGCAGAGTAAAGAAGTCCCACAAGGAAAACAAAGGTTTAGGATGGTAAAATGCTGCTCTGTCAAATGGTAATAAAATAATCTCATAGAACTGTAAACATGTCCCCGTTACCCTCTCATCCTGTTCACTCTAGCTGTGCACTTCTGCACATGTGAGCATGGTATTGTTTTCAGATTGCAAACTTGCTGTGATTTTTGCTGCTGCCACAGCAAATTCAGGGGACGCTAAAAATGCCCATTTGGGAGGCATGCACAGTCCATGCAGTGCATGTTGTCTGCTGCTGCAGGATTGTCTGCATTAAAAGAGGTGGATAATGGAGCTTGGCATTGAAAGACTATGGCTTTCCTAAGGCCACATGGCTGAACTGGGACATCTGGCTCACAGGGCATTAGCTTTCCACACATTAAAAATGAACATAATGAAGGGTTTAAACTTACTTATGGGATTGATTAATAGTTGCAATGCTCCATATTGACAAGCATTTCAGTGGCATCCCATCACCTTAAGAGGTCAATGTTTTCATCAACCTGTATTCATTTTCAGATTTATAACCGCTTGGATAAGAACTGCTGTGGGTTCAGACCACGCAAAGAGGACTCTTGTGTACAGAAAGGACTGAATCTTAATTGTAATGACCAGGACAACATTGATTTGACACACATTATCCAGAGGAAGGATGAGCCAAGGCATTTAGTTTTTATAGATAATAAAGGCTTCTTTGACCGAAGTGAAGACAATCTAAATTTCAAATTATTACATGGCATAAATGAGTAAGTATAATGATATACCATACAGGTATATGGAGCTGCATTCTCCCTCCACAGTTCTTTTCAGATCTTGTGCACAACTCTTTCACAATGAATAAATCAGACATATAACTTAAAGCACTTTTAGTTGTGAAATCTTTAAATGGTATGCTATAAAGGAAGCAGTATGGCCATCCATTCCATTGGCTTCAGTCCTGACTTCACACAGTCACCTGGCTTCCAACATCCACCATGTGGGTTTTAGATTGCACTCCATGCGTGGACATCAGGGAGCAAAATTATGCGCAGGTGGTACCATTGTTTCTTCTGATCATGGAACCCTCTCCACATATACAATGCATGTATCAGAGTTGTGTCTTTGGGAAACCATAGGCACCTTTGGACCTAAGGAGCATTGCTGGCTCCTCACCTTGACCACATCCCTTTCTTTTTCAGATAATGGTCCTGTATGACTGTGTACACAAAGTGCATTGCAATTGCATCTACAGACCAAAACAGTCATTACTTTGGGGTGCAATCTTACTGATACGAGCATGGACCTTTGAACTCAAGGGCTTATACTCATTGAGTGCATTAGGGGAGGAACAGTGGAGATGGTCTTTATCTCATTGCTCCCCCTACTTTCCTAGCCATCTTTTTGCTGGATGACCATTTTCTGCTGACCAGAAACTGTGTTTCAAAGAGAGGGGAAGGAGGCTGGAGCAAATTCAGGATACCAGCCTTTTGGAGACTGAACTCAGTTGGCCTTTTTTCCTCTCTCTCTTCTACCTCCCAATAGGGAGTATTTCGATCATAGTAAGAAAAAAAATATGAAATGATATCAGATTATATTTGTCTGTTCATTTTCAGGTTCCCAGAATCTGCAATCTCTGTGATGAAAAGCCAGCGTTTACGAGAAAAGCTTCTTCAGTCTTTGTTCCTTGACAGAATTTTTTGGGATAGCCAAGGGGGTCGCCAAGGCATTGAAAAACTAATCGATGTGATAGAACGGAGGGCTAAAATTCTTCTCACCTACATCAATGCACATGGTGCTAAAGTGGTACCAATGAATGAATGAGGCTGCAATCCTATACTCATACTTTCTTGGGAATTAAGCTCCATTGAACACAGTTGGATTTCTTCTAAGTAAACATGGATAGGAGTGGGCTATGAATGAATGAGTAAAATAGCCAGGTTATAAGGAAAAGTTGCAGGTTTCGTTAATGAGAGAATGAATCTATGCACACCTAATGCAAAATTTGGGGCTTCTCTACATCAGGAAGAACTGCTACTTTATTGAAGCTTCTTCCATTTTCCAAATGTGTCCTTTGCATGGCTTTCCCTCCTAGGGATTGAGTTGCCTTTCTGTATATTCTATTAACCAGCCACAAGATTGTGCTATGGTATAGCTGCAGTAGAGCAGATTTGTGAGCCTTTTGTCCCAGAATGTCTCAGTTTAAAATTTAATACCAGACTTTACTTCATCTTAAAAAAGGGAAAATAATCCAAGAAGGCTGGGAAACCTCGGAGGTTCTCTGAAGAGTGACGACACTGTACACACAGTGTACACACAGGGCTCTTGAGTGCACAGTGACAGCCTCATGCAGTGAAGCTCCTATTGGATTTGCATTGGGATAGGCCGCAATCCTAGACAGGTTCATCTGGAAGTTAAGTCCTATTGAAATTAATGGAGTTTATTTTTGAGTAAGCTTGAATAGGCGTGGTTTGTCAGTTTCCAAAGAACATATGAACAAAGAACAAGTCTAACATTTTAAAATAGGTGTTTTATGAACAAAAAAACATCCTAAATTATTTGCGTCATGAAGTCATGCAAGTTTTGTTTCCTGTTGGTAACTAAAGATTGGATCCAGATTTAGGCATCTTGTGACCAGCCTGGCAGAAACAAACTTCCTTGCCACTGTTTGCCAATGCATGTCTTTCAACCCACTAAAAATGGCTACAAGAGGTAGTGGGATCCCACTGATTGAAGTGGGCTCTCACACATGGCTGGCTAGATGCCTGAAAACTGGGTGGAGGCACCATCTGCAAGGGGTTGCCGTGGGAGAAAGGGCTGGAGAAAACTGCACACACATCTGCTAAACACACCTACATCTGGATCCAAACATATAAGAATATTTAACAGATTTCGTATTTATTGCATGGGCAATACACTTGGAATGAGTTCATTTAGGGACACCCTCCCCCCCAAAAATGACAAAAGTTGCAGCTTTCAGACTACTTATTTCAATAGGACTGTTTTGAAATAATATTTTTTTCCAAGATTGCTGCAAATAACTTGCTTGAGGCATACAGTTATATAGACCCCAGTCAAACCACTGTTGTTGACATTTCTGTACATAAGCAAAACTGTTCAGTAAAACAAAAAAACCAACCCCTCCAATGAAAAAAGACCAAGTTCATTCTTTTTGTAATTAGAAGCATGTTGTTAACGGTATCAGTAAATATGCTATCCATAGAACCAAGAAGATTGTTCATAGGAATGTTACATTCTTTATTTTTATGTTTTACTGAGATTTTTTTTTACCATTTATTTGTTGATTTCTTCAGAAATCTATAGAAAACTAGAAGCCCACAGACAAAGTATTGACTGAGTAGTTCAGATCAATGCATGAAATTCAGCTCCAGCTCCAGCCATACCTGGAGCTTGGCTCATTTGAGGTGCTGTATTAAAATACTGCAGTGTCAGTAATCCTGAACTGAGTGAATTCTCCCATCACTGTTTAGGTCTTTGCCATTGTAATTAGGCATGCTACAGAAATCCACAACCCACACTTTTACTGGAAAACCATCCTGTAGGGAATGGAAATGGTAATTAACCAGTTTAAGGCTGCAGCTCCATGTGCAGTCACCTGCAGGTGAGCCCCATTAAGCTCAATAGTACTTTCTTCTAAGTAGGAATGTCTAAGGTTACACTGTATGTCCTTGTGGTATGCCTTTTCTGAACCCTGTGGGATTCCTTACTCATACTTGGAATGCAATGGGTTTGATGATTAATGGGAGAACTTGCCCACGAAGGGAATGGACTGCGTCATCAGAAGATCAAATCCCCCAAATTATAACATGATTGGAACAGCAGTTTCTCAAAGTAGCTATTTCAGCTTGCTTTGGACTTCTAATGTATGGAATTAGGTTAACTCCTTTATTTCATTATACTCAGTTGTGAAAGTCACACTCTATGTAAGTACTGAGTAGTTCCTATAAACAAGATACTCTATTTGTTACTGAAAGTAAAAGGCCGATTTCACATCCATAAATTCAGTTCTGTGCCAAAGAAGCACTACTTATTGGCAATTGTAAACTGTTCACTTTTTCTCATTCACCTTGACTGTTGGACAGCAGTAGCAGGTAAATTCATCCCTCTGATTTTAGAATGGCAAGGACTTTGTTTTATTCCCTTCTGGAAGCAGGGCAACAGGAATTGGGGAAGAAGCTTTCTCAAGCCAATCACAAGCTGTATACATTTGTTTCGTTCACTTGTTCTGTAAACAACCGTTCCCAGCTACTTTCCATTTTTGGGCATATGGGATCAGACACATCTTCACATTCCAGTCTTGTCTGAAGGGAGTATTCAAAGAACCCAAGAACTCTCTATATGGGAAATGAGCATGTGTTTAAAAATACAAAAGCAAAAATAAAAACATTACCCCACCCCCACCACGCCTAAGTTAAATGTCAACATTTTTAACATCCCTGAATGGTTTCATCATTATAAAATAGAATTTGGGAATGTTTATGTATTTTCACACAAAGAGATCCTTTTTTTTTTGCTCCAGATGATAAGCAAGACTGTCTGAATATTCATTCTAGTAGACGTCTGTGAGCAAATCTTAATTTCCCTAAAGAAAAAATGCTCTAATTTAGAGCTCAGAGATGCACATATGCATCTTTTCTCATCATTTCAGCAGAGACTGGTGCTTAAATCCTCTGGCACGCACGGTGCTACCTTCCCAAAGAGGTGAATGGAAGTCCTTGTGCGTACTGCAGCTACTTCTGTGCAGAGTTCCTTGTCTGCTTTGGAGCAACTCATTTGGGTTCAATCCAGAATAATCCCTCTTTTTATGTCCGGACTGGCAGAGGCCACTGAGCATCAAACCAGCACTGACAAACTGAATGTTCTGGGACCTTGTTTTTTTTTTTTTTGGACAATGGTGCACCCAGCACCTGACTTGAATGTATGCTGTTCTTTTAAAGCACAGTTACCTGATGAATGAGAAGCATGTGAGGCAAAATGCACTGATGGTATGCAACTGTAATCTTCTGATGAAATGAGTATAGGCTTAAGATGCTATCTCTTGAATTTTAATAGTAAAAGTGAAGAAAAAATGTATTTAGAATTGTAAAACCCATTCTAATACTAACTCAGAGAAATGCTATTATAACAACTTCATTTACTTTTCAACTACAGATGCCTTTTCTCTTTGTTCATTGACTCTGTGTTTGTGCGTGTGTGCACATATGTGCAATGTTCAAATAGTATGCATTATGCATGTATTGTTACTATCAAATAATGTGTGTGCAATAGAGAACGTCAGTTGATGGGTGATACAGAAATGTAATACTTAAATAAATAATAAAATATAATACATTTTGGTTTTATAAGGGATAGCTTTTTAAACATTTCTTCTTATATCTTGGACAATAGACTCAAAAACCAAAGGCACCCCTTTTGCTAGAATACTCTACAAGCGTGCACTGAAGTAACTGACTTAACTCTATTGTAGAGAATAGGTAGTCAATGCTTAAACTTTGAATGAATATCAGTGGCAAAAAAGAAGGCAAAACATAAGCCAAAACAGATTATGCAATGTTCTTTCCCCTTTTTAATGGAAATGTTTCACATTATTTATTCAAAAGACTTGTAAGAGTTGCTAGTATCTCACTTTTAAAACGATCGGCTGAATTTTCTAGGGTTTGATATTTCAAACATATTTGAGTTCAGAGCTGTACTTGTTTAATACATGTTATATATCTGAAGTGGAAAAACAAGCAGAAAATCCACTGCTAGCAAAAGAGATATTCAGGTTCCTGTCATACTCTATAGCTCTTATGGGAATGCACCAATCTAGAATGCAGACCAAAGACGTTTTGCTGCCTGAGGTAAAGCAGCCATGCATGGTGTTTTGTGTCCCAGAATTATTTGGGCAACTGCAGCAAGAAATCCCTCAAGCACCTCTCTGGGGATGTGTAACTTAGCAAAACTCTAACCCACCATGGTTTTCTGACTACCACCTCAAATTTCATTCCATATCAGATTGCAGGCTTTGTACAAAAATTCGTGCACATTTTCATGTATTTCCTCCTAAATGCATGTTCCCATTATGCACATTTTGGAGATGCACATTTAATACCATTGAATAAAATATGTTTGAGCGTTCTTTAAAAATGCACATTCTTTTACAAACATTTTCCAAATTTAGGCAATTTTGGATGCATTTTTGTTGCCCAAATTCCACCACAAGATCAGACGTGTACAGACTACAGTCACAGAGTATATTCAAGTCCTCATTTCATTCTGGAAGGTGCATACATTTTAATTTATACAAAATGAAGTGAGTTCCTTATACATTCCCATGCCTTGCCCACTTAGAGCTCCCTGGCAATAATACAGGAATGTTTGCTGCCCTTTCAAGTACCCAAATTAGCTGCCTGGGATGGCACTCTGACTGTGGCAAAAACATCACATGGTTGAACATTTTTCCATGTTAAAACGACAACATCCTGCGTGTAATGAATGAACATGTTTGGGAGAAGGCTGGGCCGGAGCATCTCTTCCAAGTTTCTAAGCTGCAAAATATGGTTGTTACCCTATATGGGCTCAGCTCGCAGCCTGTCAACTAACCACCGGCTTCATCAGGGTCCTTTTTATGTGAATGGACCCTGTCAGGTGCCTGCCCCTTCCAAGAAAAGTTAGCATCTGCCTGCAGGAGCACATAACTACAAAGCTAAAGAATGTCACTCAAGAAATGTAAAAGTCCGGCCTGTACAGTCAACTCTCCTTTAAGACCTGCCACTAAAGGCCAGAACAAACATTACTGTAGAGTAGGCACAAGGAGGCAAATTAGATTGTGACTCTGAAGTAAGCAGCTGACTTTGAAGATCTGAATTCCCTCACTGTGCCTACTCTAGAATAAACATGGAGGAAGATAATGCAATTGCTAAGTAATGGCTGGCTAGTTTGTCTCTCAGGTCCCTTTTGCAGCTGTGCTCTATGAAGCATCATTGTATTAAAAACAATGGTACAATCCACTTCCCTGCAATGTTCCCTTACAGACATCAACCTGTGCAGTTCTATACAAGCATAGCTTGACCGGATTGTAGCCATATGTGTTTGGAATCAGGATCCTCTCTGAACGATTCACAAAATCACTTCGGCACTGAGGGTTGGTTGGGATCAAGGCAATTTCCTGAGAGGCCTCACTGTGCATCCGACGCGCAACCTGTCATGAAGGCCAAAACCCTGAGCATGGCAGTAAATGCACAAAGCTGGTTCTATCAAGTGCAGGAAACTGCACACAGGATCTACTATACCAGTGGTGGCGAACCTATGGCACGTGTGCCACAGCAGGCACGCAGAGCCCTCTCTGTCAGCAGGCAAGCCAAGTCACCCCAGCATCGCCCCTGCTGCTGAGCATCAGATAACAGTGTACATAGGGGCCATGCACATGGTTGGAAAGGAGTAGTGGCGCCAGGTGATGACGTCATGTTCCATGACTCATTAGCTGTGACTCATCCGACCTTTTGCATGGTCAGTGTGTTGCCAAGGAGATATATATGTATGTATGTATGTATGTATGTATGTATGTATGTATGTATGTATGTATTTATGTTTGGCCTGGTTGTTTTCAGGTTTAACTGCAGTGTTGGAACTTTGTGATAAATAAGTGGGTTTGGGGTTGCAGTTTGGGCACTCGATCTCTAAAAGGTTTACCAGCACTGGGTTAGGGTTAGAAAAACGAGGTGTCCTGGTATGATTTTGAAGGTTGGAGTGTGTTGAGAATGGGCAGAAATGATGAGCAGTGCAAAAAAGCTGCTCAAGGAAGACTTTTTCAAAATTTCCTTCTTTTTGATGGAACTTTAGCCATATATTAGGGTTAGGGGAGCACATCAGGGTAGGGTTATGCCAGTGGTGGTGCACCTGTGGCATGCGTGCCACAGCAGGCACGCAGAGCCCTCTCTGTCAGCATGTGAGCCAAGTCACCCCAGCATTGCCCCAGCAGCTGAGCATCGGATAATAGTGCACATAGGGGCCATGCGCATGCTCGGTAAGGAGTAGCAGCACCAGGGGATGACGACATGTGCCATGACTCATTAGCTGCGACTCTCCAAGCTTTCGCATGGCTGGTCAGTGCACTGCCAAGGATATATATATTTGTTTGGACTGGCTGTTAGTTGTTGTTTTTAAACTAAAACCTGTTTTTTGAGGTTTTATTGTAGTGTTGGCACTTTGAGATAAGTGGGTTTGAGGTTACAGTTTGGGCACTTGGTCCCTATAAGGTTCACCATCACTGTATTATACCATCCTTCCCACATAGGATTAGAGATTATGTAAAGAATGTGTGTGTGTATTGTGCTACCTAACAGAGTTCACAGGTCTTTTATTTCTTCCCTGATAGCATGTTGGTATAGATGTTTAAAAATGGCAAGGTGCTACTTCTTAATATCATGAAATTAAACAGGGATTACATTGCAACACATTCTTGTACTGTGGTACCTCATACTTCAAACTTAATTCATTTCAGGAGGTCATTTAAACTCTGAATCTTTCGAAGTCCAAATCAGTTTTCCCCATTAGCATAATGGAAAGTGAACTAATTCATTTCCAGACACCAAACAATACCCAATACACTGAAAATGATTGAAAAGGCACACACTGAAAAGGAACTGAAAACAATATAAGACTTGGGCGCACAACAGATGACGTTTCTGCAGCAACCTCATTTTTTCACTGTTTGCACAGTTTAAATGTAGAAGCATTGTTGGAACTTTGGAACAATTTTATGTCAATCTTAGCGTTTGAACTCTGGAATGTTCGAACTTAGGTTCGTTCGAAGTACAAGGCACCACTGTATATGTCATTAACTTTGGGATGGCATTAACAGTGTGTGCTGTGCTCCTTCCTTTCTCTTGAAGTTGTTGCAGAACTTGCAGAAGTCCAGTTTCTGAGTAGTGTAGCATGTTGACTTTCTTCTGTCTTAACCATATTTTCCACAGGCATTGCCTAAATGCATCCATCAGACCAGCGGTCCCAGGAGGAACATGACCAATAAGAAAGTTACATGGAATCAAAAGTGTCATTGAGAAAATGTGACTTTGGAGCTGGGATGCTGCACTAGGAGCCCCCACTCTGTCCTTGCTGCTAGTGAAGATAGAACAGTGCTAGATGTCTCTCTGGGTTCAGAAATTAGTTTGGAGAGGGCCAAGGGGGTGTGCCAGGGGTTGGGGATGGGAAGAGGCTGGGGGAGACATCTTTTGTCATATTCAGACAGCACCTCAGCCTTCTTCCCTGCCCTTCTGCAATTCAATGATTGTGGGAAGTGGCTGCATTTCATGCAGGGCTTGCACACTGCACTGAATGAACGTAAGCATTCAGTGTTTGGAAGCTTACATGCTCCAGTGGTGGAAGATGCTGGACCACACTCTAATAGATGCCATTCTGTGGGTTTGGCCATAGTCTATTTCCTTTTTGATATATGCACAAATTACACAGTTTCAAAGCTGGTTTTACTTCTGCCAAAACAAAACAACCTATATGCAAGTTCAAATTAAAAACTTATGAAAAAAAGAAACCCTTCCACACTGGCAGATCTTAAGTCCAACTTTATAGAACAGCTGCTTCTATGTTGCTATGGAATAAGAGAGGTTTTTTTTAAAGGAAACATGACAAGCTGAAGACAGCTGTTACTTTCCACAATGTGGCCGTGTTTTTCTTTGTTTTGTTTCTGTGAAAAAATGTATTTGCATTTATAAGCATGATAAGATTAGCATTCCTGGATTCTTCTGGTTCTGCAATAACTTGAAAGAGAGAGAGAGAAGAAAAACCCAACTGTTTTCTGAATAGTCATTTCACACTGACAACTTAAGATCAACAAGATCTGCAAATTTTTGGAGAAAGGCAGCCAACACCCCAAAATACTTTTAGCTTGCAGAGTCCAGACTGGGGGCTGTTGCTATTGCTGTTGTTCTTGTCGTCCTCTCTGTGCCATTCTTATGTTCTAGGAAAAGTGCTATTTTCTATTGCTTCTCTTCACACAGAGGCATCTGGATTGCATCAGACTTGCTAAGAGTGGGGTGAGAAATACACATCCCTCCAAGAATCCCCTTAGAAGATTTAAGGATGACTAACCCTATGGACCATTAATGGATTAGCTAGGATTACCTCTGGCCCTATTACACCTTTCTGTACCAACCCCTCCCACCTTTACAACAATCCATAGCATTCCTGCTGTAACTCATTACATGCTAGCTGGACCTTCAGGACCTTCTATTGATTACTCAGCTTCAGGAATAGGGTTGCTGCTGCTATATTTTTTGTAGGTATGCTCTACATGGGAACAGCACCCCAAATGATCTGCTGATGGAGAGGCATAGGGTATGAGGGGGTTGATAGGAAAAGGATAGAAAGTCCCCCATTCCTTGCACACACTGTGGATTTTTGAATGTCTTGTTGGATATAATAGGCAGCATGGTAGGAACCCATGAGTCTGTGAAATATATCTCCTAGTCCTCAGGCATCTTGCGAAGATCAGTCTCCATGTTTTTTAAACAGAGAATTCCCTCCTCGGATAGTGGCTGTTCAGAGTCTTGGTCAAAGGTCTTTTGCATCCCCTGCTCTCTGAGCCTGTTAGCTGGACATGCCACGACAGAACCCTGGACTTTTGCATGTGAAGCCTGTGCTCCACCACTGAATTATGTCCCCTCCTCATCCCCTAAAATACTTCTGGTTGAGCGTGTGTGGTGGCAGTGATCTCATTGTGTCATATTAGCATCATCTGAGGAATGATACTTTCCTACTAGGAATTCATTTGACATTCCTTGGGGGTTGTCTAAGCACTGCAGGCGAGACCATATCAGTAGTATCCCTGGACAAGTCATGTGAAACATGTCCAGATTTGGCAACAATTCATAACAAACACTTAATGAAGACAGTACACCAGTGTTATAGTCGGTTATATAAAG